CTGCAGAGTTTGATTTGAAGAACCGAATTGAAATTTTGACCAAAATCAGTTTCAGCCCAATTCGGTCTTTTGGCTGGAATTGGACTAATAGCACAAATCTGAGTTAAAGTGAGGTTTTGAAGTTCCATGGAGTGAATTGAGGACTTCAAAGCTATTTCTTCAAAATTTTCTAAGCTAGACCAGAGGGCCCTTTAGTTTTGGGCCAGAGGCCCAAGTAGCTCTCTTCTGAAGCAAGTTTAAAAGTCCACATGGGTGTGGCCTTTAAGCTAGTATATATATTTATGAGTATGTCTGCTAGCCACTCTCTGATGGAATGATTTAGTACAGGCTTTTTTTGGTTTTCCACACATTTGCAGGAGACCTGAAATGTCAAGTAAAAGCTGAAAGTGGAGTTTAGAGTGCATGTTACCAATTCTACACTTTAATTAAAAACCCAACACAAGAAGCTGGAATGACAGCAGTAAATTACCAAATAGAGTAGATCAATTAGTCTATAAATTAATAAAAGAAATGTCAGTCAAAAATTAATACCTATAGCATCCAAATATACTAATATCAAGAAAGCCAGATTTAGTTCAACTGATCTAAACTCATCCAAGATAAATTTAGGTAAAGCCTCGAGGGAGATAAAAACAGATTAGGTTAGTTCAGATTTCAATCCATTCCAGATCCTGAAAATTAATAAACCATTCTCTTGTGTTTTCGATTGCTCTTCATGTATCTTCGGTTAATGAAGAAATGCATAAAGTTATCTCCCCTTGAGTATATAATTTATTCAACATGGATTCTTACATCAAATATAAACAAATAAATCCCAGTGGCAGGTCATTACTTAGAATTTAATTCTGTTTGATATTTGGCTGGAGATTAAATAAAAGTATGGATAGAATTGCATATGCACATCATTCATTTCTGTAGATGTAAATATTTTTAAAAGAAATTGTTTATCTTTCATCAATAGAAAAGAAAAGTAAAAATATTTAGCTCATTTTTACACCTTAGCAAATATGCTTTTGATCTGAGAGCATTTAGATTCATGATGTCAAAATTGCTCTGTTTTCTTTGAGAATCTCTCTAAGCGCCATTTGTTACCAATATGACTTGGTTGGCTGGTTCTTCCACCTTACCATCACCCATGCTGGCCTTCCACTGGAAAGGTTTCAGTAAAAAGAGATACAAAACCTTTTAACAATTCCCAGGAAAATTGACTCACTCCTGAACAAATGGTTTCTATCATGAATTAACAACACTTGAGAAAAAAATTTCTTTCTCTTCATTTCTCTCCACCACATCCCTAGTTTCATTCTTATTTCTTTATTTACTTTCAAGTTTATTCAGTATCATTTGGTAGGGGAACCATTTCCAATACCATCACCTTTCACTGAACAATTTTATTCTAATATAATTAATTTTAACATAATATGGTAATAGTGAGGTTAATTCAACATTCATTGACTAAATAGTTAGCATTGTCAGTTGAAATTTATTAAATTTTTCTTAAATTTTTTTTTTTTTTTTTTTTTTTTAAGTTCTCCAGCCCACTAACTGTTGTAGCTCTTTCAGATATTGATGGGATTTTTTTCCCTTGTTACAGTTAATCTTACAGCCTACCATTTGTCCATGTATTGAATAATGCTGCCCCATCTGGTCTGGTACTTTTTCAATGTATCTAGATTATTGATAAAATCTAAAAAATTTGCAATGTTATGGCATCTTGGCTTCAGTCACTTTCCCCACTGCCATAAAATAGCTTCCCTCTGCCTTTTCTATGAACATTTTCATGCTAATTGTTCTGATGAGCTTTTCTCTTTAATACCTAAACTTTACAAATTTAAGTGCAGTACGAGATTGGTGACATGGTCTCATCATTTTACAGTTGAAATGTAACCATAAGATCGATGCTAACAGTTTTTTCTATCACAATTCTCATTTGTGTAACAATATTCAGGCTTCTTACTTTCCAGTCAACTTTGATCTTCAAAAATATAATGCAATGTCAATATCTTCTGTCTTCTTAATTCCTGTACTTTTATTGATCTCTCTCTCTCTCTCTAATAATGTTTTCTTTTTTCTTATATTCTCTCACACTCAGTAACCCTTTGTGTCTTAGTGGATTTATCGCTTTGCTTGGAGTGAAATGATTTTTTAAGAATAAAATTTTCCTTTCTAACCTTTTAAAAGGTGTTCCAATAACTCGGACTGATTTTAAATATGAATTAAGTTTAAGCATCTAATGATTTTTTTTTTCTTTCATATTTAACATCTTAAGTCTTTGGCAATTTCAACCATGGAAAGATTAACAATCAAACAATATGTTAAAGTTATCAAAACCTATTAGAAAAATGGATGTTTAACCAGAAATGAACTTCATGATTTTTTTGATCAACATAATCGACCAACGGAGTGCAATTGGAAATGATGTAACATTGTTGTGGAAAGGTTCAATCCCTGTATGCGATGATGAATAGAGGTGTCTGGATTTTTGGCCACATATTTGTGCACTGTAGAATGTTTTCAGCTGAATGGTGTAAACAAGCACACAATGGTGTTTTCACATCTACCACCGACTAAGTTTGTTTGAATTTACAAACAATTTTTCCAATTGCACTCTTAAAACTTTGACATGTTGTCTGATTGTTAATCTTTCCATGGTTGAAATCGACAAAGACTTAAGTTGCTAAATCTCAAAGAAAAAGAAAAAAAAAATCATTAGACGAATAAACTTAATTCACATTTAAAATCGGTCCAAGTTATTGGAATACCCTTTATTTAAGATAGTGGGGAAAGTCAATATCTTCATTATATCATCATTATCCCTTCCAGTTTCATATGTTACCTATTTTACTTATTGTTACTCTTGGATGTCTTCAAGTGAAGTGCTCAGACATCTTCTTCCTCCAGAACTGTGGAACAAACTCTGAAGAGAATGCTTTCCTAACAACTACAATCTTGATCTCTCTAAATCTAGGGTCAACTGATCCTACTCATCCTTATAATACTCTCTTACTTATCCCTTCTTTTCAATCTCACTCAGTAACCTTCTACCGTGAGTGGCTCTTGGGCCTTGTATTGGGTGAATCATCAGTAAATAAAAAATAGATAAAATAACCATTTGGGCAACTATCATACTAAAATCATTAACAAGTTAATCTCAAAAGGCAGTTTGCTTGTAAAAGTGATTCTTCAATTATAAATTTGTTTGCTTGTAAAAGTGATTCTTGTCTGATGCTCTACTAATTTGGCCTTATACAAGATGAAACTAAGTTACTAATTATTTGAACACAATGGTTTGGACACTTATCACAAAAGCCACTGTACTGGGATTGTGTATTTTTTCTTTTTTTTTTTTTTGTTCATCCTCATTGGGTATATTGTATATAATATCTAAAGAATTAATGGATTTAATCCAACAGATTTTATCATTATAGATGTTATTTTGATGGATACACATAAACTGTACCAAATAACAGAAACCACATGACTTTAGGAATACCAACAGCAGCAACAACTAAAATGGATAGTACATGTAGCTAGAAGAGAAAATAATGACATAATCAAGATGTTAACATTCCACACCACTTCAAATAAAATGTTAAGAAGGAAGCTTCCATCAATACTGGAAAGAACAATAACAGCCACTGGATTTGAGAAACCTGTTTTCCTACGCAGTACTAGCTGCTTGGTCAATGAATGCCAAATGTTTCCTTGTAGGGAAACGGCTAATATTGTCATTACCCTTAATCAAAATTAATAAATGAAAATGAAATACTTACTTTTTTTTATTTTTATCTTTTATGTTCCATGTCCCTTAGGGCATGATTGATCATGGCTCTCCATAACTTCCTATCTTTTGTTAACCCCTAAGTAACTTTTGTCACTTTCTTTTTTTATGTGCTGTGTCCCATCAGGATGTAGGTTGTCATGCCTTTCCACAACTTCCTGTCCCTTGTAGCTCTTTAAAAAAAAAAAACTTTGTCTTTCTGTTATTTCTCTTAAATCCTGTTCCACCATCTATTTACTCAAGCTTATTAAGTATGTTATACATTGTTTTCCTCTGTCCCCCTTGTCCTATATCTTTCCATGAGTATCGGATTTTCCAATTCCTCCATCCTTGTTATATGCCACAGAAAACTAAACTCTCTTTCTGATACTAAATATTAATTTCTTTTTTGTTTGCATTTTCTCCAAAACTTTGTTACTCAGATTTTCAGTTCATAATATCCTTAGCATCTTTCTATTGCTTCAAGTCTACTCTTCATCTGTGAGATCATCCAGCACTCACTGCCATACAGGAGGACATATCTCACATAGCAGTATAGTACTATTTTCCTTGTTTCTCATGAAACTATCCTATTTCTTAGTATTTTGCTTAGCTTTTGGAATGTTTCCTTGGCTATCTCAATATGCCTTCAGATCTCGGTTCACTCTTTCTGTTAAAACACTTCCCAGATATTTAAATTTCTTAGTGCAAATTGCAAATCGGAGGTACTTTCAGCTCATCTTTTTACTAATGACTATGCATTCTGCCTTCTTGCAATTGATGTTTAATCCGTTCTACTCTCTGTCCGTTCCTTCTTCTGCAGAATATTTTGTAGCTTTCTGTATCTGCTATCAAGACTATCATCTGCATATCCTTATGTTGTTAAGATTGTGGGCACCAATAATGAATCCTGGTAGGACTTCTAGTTCTCTCTGAATCACCTCGCTGTTGAATAAGTCTGGTGAGAAGACACATTCTTGTCTTACACCCATTTCTGTTTTTATTTATCTGCTGAACTCATTTTCTATCTGTATGCAGGCAGTTTGCTGCCAGTATAGGTTTTTGATGACTCTATTTTACCATTGATTGTTTTACCATTGATTGACTTAAACATGTTTTATAGGTTATTTGCTGTTTCCCTTCTACTTTTCTTCTTGACATTAAACCTTTGGTCTTTATATTTAACAAACTAAAAGTAAAGAAATTTAACTACTTATATTTCTGCTTTTGTCCTTTACAGTTGGACCTCCGTACACCTTTCGTTTTAAGGTGAAATTTTTCTCGTCTGAACCAAACAATCTCCATGAAGAGATAACAAGGTAGGTTATAATTTTATTCAATTTCTGTTAAACAACTTAAAATCTATATAGTGATACTATAATATCTGTCCTTCCTATGTAAGGCATGCATCAGTCTCCAAAAGAAAAAAATATTAACACTTCAACCACTTCAAAAGATCAAGAGTGATAATGCTCAAAATAGCATGTCTTTCTCCATCTTATTCACCTTTTCTTTGAACCATTTTTCTTCATTTTTCTCTATCTTTCTCACTCTCTATCTTTCTCACTCTCTATCTTTCTCACTCTCTATCTTTCTCACTCTCTATCTTTCTCACTCTCTATCTTTCTCACTCTCTATCTTTCTCACTCTCTATCTTTCTCACTCTCTATCTTTCTCACTCTCTATCTTTCTCACTCTCTATCTTTCTCCTCTCTCTTTCTCCTCTCTCTTCTTTCTCCTCTCTATCTTTCTCCTCTCTATCTTTCTCCTCTCTATCTTTCTCTCTCTATCTTTCTCACTCTCTATCTTTCTCACTCTCTATCTTTCTCCTCTCTATCTTTCTCCTTCTATCTTTCTCCTCTCTATCTTTCTCCTCTCTATCTTTCTCCTCTCTATCTTTCTCCTCTCTATCTTTCTCCTCTCTATCTTTCTCCTCTCTATCTTTCTCCTCTCTATCTTTCTCCTCTCTATCTTTCTCCTCTCTATCTTTCTCACTCTCTATCTTTCTCCTCTCTATCTTTCTCCTCTATCTTTCTCCTCTCTATCTTTCTCCTCTCTATCTTTCTCACTCTCTATCTTTCTCCTCTCTATCTTTCTCCTCTCTATCTTCTCTCTCTATCTTTCCTCTCTATCTTTCTCACTCTCTATCTTTCTCACTCTCTATCTTTCTCACTCTCTATCTTTCTTTCTCTCACTCTCTATCTTTCTCACTCTCTATCTTTCTCTCTCTATCTTTCTCTCTCTCTTTCTCACTCTCTACTTTCTCCTCTATCTTTTCTCTATCTTTCTCCTCTCTATCTTTCTCACTCTCTATCTTTCTCACTCTCTATCTTTCTCACTCTCTATCTTTCTCACTCTCTTGTCCTCCATTCCTTCACCATTCTTCTTTCACTCGCTTTTCTTTTCATTTTACTCTAGCTTTCTTACTAATCTCCTTTCCTTATTCTTACCACTTTTCTCATTCTCCTTGTTTTTTCCTATTTTATTATCATGTAAATACTCGATAACTACATGAAGGAATGCTGAAAAGTTCTCAACCTGATCCTCTTTCAAAAATCTGACCAAATGAATGAACATCTGATTTTTAGGCCAAGAATTTTCAGCACCCACTTCTTATCTGTATATACTGTGTATAACTGTGACACTTTTCATATTATACTTAGGGCACCTCAAGGTGGTGTAATGGTTAACAAGTTTGTCTCACTAGATCAATTACGACTGAGTAGTGAGTTTGATCCTCACTGAGTGTCCCATACTTTCGGCCTTGTGCCACATCTAAGCTGGGCTTAGAAAATCACTATAAATATTATACTCATCCAAGTGCTGATCCATACATAATCTTTTTTTTTTTTATTAATATGTATTATACTAGCTTTGATAATACTGATGTACTTAATATAAAGAAGGTCAATTTTCTAAGATTTCCTGGATAAACAGCATTAACATCCCCCTTTTGAAATTTGCATGTTCCCATCTGTATATACAGTGTATATCTGTGACACTTTTCACAGATCATATGAATGTTACACTAGATACCTCCACTTTTTTGCTAAAAAAAAAAATACATCATAGCATGATGAGAAAAGATCCCAAACTTAATAAAAACAGTTTTATTGTTGAAATGTGTATTATTTAGAGAAAAAGACCAAAGTATTTTATTAAATTTTTTAATTCTTTCAAAAATGGGCAAGTTATATATTTTATATAGATAAAAAAAATTTTTTCATTATTTTAATATTCAAAATTATGGTTAAAAATCATCTTTTTTTTTTTTTTTTTTTTTGTTGTTGTTTTTGTTTTTGTTGTTTTTGTTTTTTGTTGTTTTTGTTTTTTGTTGTTTTTTTTTTTTGTTGTTTTTGTTTTTTTGTTGTTTTTGTTTTTTTGTTGTTTTTGTTTTTTTGTTGTTTTTGTTTTTTTTGTTTATATGGGCTTTATTGTGTTTTTGTTTTGTTTTTTTGTGTTTTTAGTGTTTTCGTTTTTTAGTCTTTTTTTGTTTTTTGTTTTTTACATTAATGTTTGAGATAATATTTTTGTTTTTATTATAAGGTGGATTAAACCAAATTATATTTCTTTTTTTTACTTTTATATGTATTATTGTTAGTTATGCTTCTAATTTATTCACACACACACACACGCACACACATATAATTCCTTTTGACTTACCCCAACTGCTGGCAGTCAGAAGATATCAATGCTTATTACTACTTTAAAAAATTTTACCTGACCTAAGTCTCCTTTGTTTCTTACCTGACAGGCCTCTGACTCATTTGTGGCCATGTGGGCTGACAATAGTTGACAAGTGGAGTTAATGCATTATGACAAGACCCAATTTCTGTCCCATCTGTTTTAAAAGAATCAGATCACCTGCATATCTACTGTCACTGCATCTCTACCTACCTTTTATATTTACTTGGTTGCATACTTTTGTACTTAACAAAGTAAATGGTTTTACAATAAACATTTCAAAAGTGAAACTTTTTGCTCACAACAGATTGTTTAATGTAGCTTATCAAAATAAGTGGTGTTTAATCTTAATTCTTTTTTTATTGATCAATTTAATTCTGTTTAATTTCTATTATAAAATTATTTTATCCTCTTAATGGCTTTTGGAATTAGTGGTTCATTTAAATTTTTCATGCAATAAATAAAAAGAACCAGGTTTACTTAAGTCTCGGTTGCTATTGAAAAATTTAGGCAATTTGGCTACAAAAAATTATTCAAACAATGATTCTGAAGGTTAAATTTGATTTTATCTGCCTTGTCTTTTATCAGATCAAAACATATTTTTGTATTGCATAGCAAATTATTGTTACAGTTAATTTTTTTTTTTAATTCAGTGCAAGAGTTAGCAGACCCGGCCGTTAGCTAATTCAGTGCAAGAGTTAGCAGACCAGTGCAAGAGTTAACGACCCGTTAGCTAATTCAGTGCAAGAGTTAGCAGACCCGGCCGTTAGCTAATTCAGTGCAAGAGTTAGCAGACCCGGCCGTTAGCTAATTCAGTGCAAGAGTTAGCAGACCCGGCCGTTAGCTAATTCAGTGCAAGAGTTAGCAGACCCGGCCGTTAGCTAATTCAGTGCAAGAGTTAGCAGACCCGGCCGTTAAGCTAATTCAGTGCAAGAGTTAGCAGAACCCGGCCGTTAGCTAATTCAGTGCAAGAGTTAGCAGACCCGGCCGTTAGCTAATTCAGTGCAAGAGTTAGCGAACCCGCCGTTAAGCTAATTCAGTGCAAGAGTTAGCAGACCCGGCCGTTAGCTAATTCAGTGCAAGAGTTAGCAGACCCGGCCGTTAGCTAATTCAGTGCAAGAGTTAGCAGACCCGGCCGTTAGCTAATTCAGTGCAAGAGTTAGCAGACTCGCTTGTTAGTTAAGCATTCTTCAACTTCTATAGGATATAGGAGCAGAAGACAAACTTGAGTGCTTTTGTTGACACCATGACACCAGACACAGTGCCTCACCAAAGTTATGACATTACTAATTGGATCTTGAAAGACTCATGTCCTTCTCAAGAGATTTAGCATGAAGTAGATGCAAATTACCCCAGCTGCTGTTTGAATTTGGTTCACCAAATTACTTTTTTTTTTTTTTTTACCGTCAACTATTAACTCTCTTGCACCTACTTTCAAATTGTTGCTAATTTTAGTTTTTGGATTTTATTTGTTTTATAGCAAAATGTCTTGACAATTAAGTATCAAGATTTTCCTTACTTGATGACATACCAAGCTTAATCATCTTGTTGAAGCTCTTTTTCTTTTTTCTTTTTTTTTTTTCTTTTTTTTTTTTTTTTTTTTCAATCTTTCTCAAACAGACTTAAGCTAACTCTGCTACTCATTGTGTTCATGTGTTCAGAACAATAGGCTTTCTCCTATCAACCAAACTATTTGAATCAATGAAACCAGTCATTTTAATTTATCAGTGCGGAAAGACATTTCTAATCTTTGTTTGTCTATCCGATTCTTAGTTAAGTACAAGATTACATTCCTTTCATGATAATAGCATTAAGGAATAATAATAATAATAATAATACATTTTGGAAAACAGTACTGCTATGTTGCTTTTTGTTTTTTTTTTTATTGGTCCTGACATGACCTCTCAACTTTGGTCACTTTCCCTACCACAATACCACAACTTTCTTGTGTCTTTCTATAAATACTTTCATGGTAATTGTTCTGATGAACTTTCCCCTATGGTAACTAAACTTTATGAATTTAAGCATAGTACTAGATTGGCAGCAAGGCCTAATCATTTTACTGTTGAAATGGCAAGAGATGTAACCATAAGTTTCATGCTAATAGTTTTTTTTATCGCACTTCTCACTTGTGGAACTCTCTTCCGGCTTCTTACTTTCCAGTCAAGTTTGAGTTTCAAAAATTTAAATGCAATGTCAATTATTATCTTCTGTCTTAATTCCTGTACTTTTATTCTCTCTCTTTAATAATTTTTTTTCTCAAACTCAGTAAGCCCTTGTATCTTGGTGGCTTTATTGCCTTGCTTGGGGGGGAAATGATTAAAAAATGCCATCAAAAGAAAATTCTTTAGTTAACAAAATAACAATTTAAACATGAAGCATTCATTGACTAAAATGTAGATGTATGAAAATACCTTTGGAATATAGTAAAACAGTCTTGTAGCAGACAGATGTAAAGAAATCTGAGGTTTCATTCTTCTGGTGTTAGGATTGGGAAGCTTATTACTCATTTAGAAAATGGTCTTTAGCTTTACAATCTTTTAATTGACTAGAGGACGGAATAGGTGACTCGGAAATCCAAAAGTATAGTGAAATGTTTTCCAAAAGTTAAGCAAAATATTAACAGGAAAATTTCATTAGAAACAAAGAAAAGAATACTGGATTGTTATGTAATATTGACAATGAATACGAGACAATCTCATCACAGATAAAGAAGAAATTTGAAGTAACAGAAATGTTGTTCTACAGAAGGATGCTGAGAATACCATGGACTAAACATGTGAGCAACAACAAAGTTTTAAGAAAAATGAAGACAAAAAGGACACTTATACTTAACATCAGAAAGAGTAAGTTAAAATTTCTAGTGAATGTAATGAGGAAAGAGGGTATAGAAAATTTGACATTCACAGGACATATTGAAGAACAGAGGAAAGCCGTGAATAACCTACTTAAGTTTGTGTAAATGGTTGGTAGAACAGGAATTAGGAGAGATAACAAAAAGATAAAATATTGCTAAGAAATACAAAGGACAGAAAGTTGTGGAGAACCATGATCACCCACGTCCTGAAGGGACAAGGCACACAGAAGAACTGTTTTAATGGATTTTGATGTATGTTTTTTAAAAAAGAAAGTAATAATTTATAAACCATGTCAGCTAACATGGACATACTAAACATGACTATTGATTTGGTTGGGAGAACCATCCACCCTAGCCATTGACTTTGATCTAGGAAACCCCCACCCAGAGAAGTTGTCATCACCACCTTGGCTGTATACATAGCTATGGAGCCCTGTCTGCCCCATTGTGCTAGAATACTGTTGACCCATAACCCACTTTTTGATGGTTCATCTGCCTTTTGACAGGTCTTATTTTTAATCCTGTTCAGGATCTAGTTACCCTCCCTACCAGAAAAGTCTTGTGGGGAGAAACTGTTTAATCTCTGATGATCCAAACATGTGGCAAGTAGTACTGGGTTATGTAGTACCATTGGCCATCATAGAGTGACCTAATGTAAATTATTAGTCTACAAACCTGTTTATATACTTATATATACTTTTGTAGAACTTTGATATTTTTGAAAATTCTAGATTTTCTTTCTCAGATTTATCTTAAAAAAAAAAAAAGTGTTTAAGATATAACAAATTCTTGTCTACAGTTCTGTTATACAGAAGTAAGATTTTTGGTTTATTTATCAGATCCCTCTGACTTTATCCTTACTCTACCAATTCCCAAC